GTTAAACTGAAGAACAATGTCTTTAAACTGCCAAGGATAAATACATGCCATATTTGGTTAGCAGAGGACGGTTGCTTCTTTGAAGTAGAATTTGCAGTTGTCCAAAAGGTATACACTCCCTTAAAACCTCTTAGTAAAAATATGCACTCAAGAGACAAAACAAAATAGTCTTCTTTAAAAATAACATCTCAGGTTTACTAACAACTTTTTGTATATATTCAGCATACGAGTTGTGCAGGTACAACTGTACCAGGAGCTCCAATTTTGTTTGCTTTGCATTGAATGTTTGTTGTAGTCCTAAGTTTCAGGGACTCTGCAGATAGGTGGCTTCTTTTGGCTGCAATCACAGGGCAAGCCACCTGTCAATTATAGTTAGGTTCCCTGGTCCCGCCCCCTTTTTGGGTTTTTGGAGGGAATAGGAGCCTTTTTGGGTTCAGTCTACACAGAGAAGCTTTTCGTGCAGGACATAATACCAAGAGCTCCTGTAGAAAGCTTCTTCTACAGCTTGGCCAGGGAGAAAGGTCCCGTAGCTTGGCCGAAGATTATACAGCCTTACAGCTCCTTTGCTGAGGGACTTCAGCCAGCCATTACTGAAACCTGAACTCCTTTTCCCTTGGAAGTCTACAAAGCTATGCTTGGTAAGGGTCACTCGCGGAAGCCAGACGCAGTTGGTACCGGGTGCAGGGGCTCCACGCCAACAGAGGCAAAGACAGACTGCCCAGATAAGAAGTTAAGGATTTCTCCATTAGTTAATGTACAGTTTATGAAGATAGTACCTGTTCCCCGTGGACAAGATTGAGGGAGAGCCAACAGACTGTTAAGAAAGCCTTAAAGTGCCTGTTTGTTTTCATTAATAAAGAACTTTGTTGAACCTTTAAGCAATCTAAAGACTCTGTTTTAAGGAAATCCAAAGGCCTTTAGTCTGAAGCAGCCTTGGCGTCCCGTTGGGCACACAGAATGTATGTCCTGTCCACAGTCTTATGCACAGGCCCAGCGTGCGACAGCATACTAGTCCATAGTCCAATGTCTTCAGCATATAGATATAATCCAAACTATAACTGTGCTCACTGAAGTTTGAAAAGAGACAAATGGCATCCACCTCCATTGAAGTCTAAAAGCATACTGTAAAACAAAGATGGAGTCCTGTGTCTGAAGCGCCTCCCACACCAAAGAGATGCAGTCAAACTGGCAAACCAAAATGTACATGAGTCGCCGTCCTAGGCTGATAAATGCGGTATACAAATGGAGTAAATAAATAAATAAATACATACATACAGTATAGGTTAACAATTATACACATTTACAAACAAGCATCCTCAGAGGTTATGAGGTCCATTGGAAACTAGGAAAATTGGGTTTATATATCTGTGGAAAGTCCAAGGTGAGAGAAAGAACGCTTGTCTGTTGGAGCTAGATGGGAACGTTTCAACTGGCGACCTTGATTTGATGGCCTGGCACTTTTTAGGTGTGACTTGTTACTGCCTGGGGGAATCCTTTGTTGAGGGTTGATTAGCTGTCCCTTACTGTTTCCTGTCTGGAGTTCCCCTATGTTTGAGTGTTATTCTCTATTGGCTGTTATAATTTTAATTTTTTAAATACTGGTAGCCAAATTTTGTTCATTTTCATGTTTTCTTCCTTTCTGTTGAAATTGGCCAAGGCACCCCCACCCTCCAAACACACAACCTCAAAAGGCCTCAAGCAGAGGTGCCAACACACTGATACCTCAGCCACCAAAATAACCATAAAGCCTTAAAAAAAACTACCTACCTTACAAACAAGAAATAACCACTCGGTTCTCTATCACACTTCAAAAGGTCAGGTTTTTCCCAAGCACAGATCACCTCTGGCTTCTTCTTCAGCCTCTGGGTCTCTGCTACCACCTCCCCCTCCCTGAAAGCTCAGATGATCTAGCTGATGCATGTGACTGGAAAATGGTAATTTAGAGGGTTGTTCTAATTCAGAATAATTTTCTACTCGGGGAGAAGGGTGTATCTACTTTGCTTAGAACACAGGAAGTATTATAGTACAGCCTGAACCTGAGGCTGATGGCTTCACTCATGGTTTAGAGAGAATTGTGGGATTTCCTCTGAGATTTCCTGGGACACAAAGTGATGAAAATTCAAGTAAGGGAAAGGAGATTCCATCTGAACATGAGGAAGGACTTCCTGACTGTGAGAGCCGTTCAGCAGTGGAACTCTCTGCCCCGGAGTGTGGTGGAGGCTCCTTCTTTGGAAGCTTTTAAACAGAGGCTGGATGGCCATCTGTCAGGGGTGATTTGAATGCAATATTCCTGTTTCTTGGCAGGGGGTTGGACTGGATGGCCCATGAGGTCTCTTCCAACTCTTTGATTCTATGATTCTATAAGAGAGAAGGTAGGCCTGAGTTCTCTGGTTCTTGTTTCAAGTCAAGGTTTGGTTATGCATTCAAGTGTCCTGGAAGCTTTCTATGTTCTTGTTTTCTATTATTGCTCAAGATTTGCTAAATATACCTTTGCTTGTGGACATATGCTATACTTGTGATTTTTTTGGCTATTCCTGGACTATATTACCTTAGGATTCACATGAGACATTTGGATTACTGCCTGGCTATCATCAATTGCTGACCTTTTCTTGGATTATATGTCTTCTATCCTTATTCCTGATTTTTCATATATTTTATGTGTTTTTCCAATAAACTGTTTGCTTTTACTTTGGACTCTTGTATGGTGCTGTGGTCATAAGCGTTTCAAGGCCTGGGGTGTAACAGAAAGTGGGGGAGAAATAATGGAGCAGCAAAGAATACTGACATCCTGGTATCTATGGGGAATCATTGAAGTTTTTGGATGGCCTCCTCTTGGGAATACTTTAACTGGCCATTCCCACACTGGCATTCCCACATTACATATGACCTCATCATAAAGACCGATAGGTTTGCCCTGTGTTGTGGTGAATCTATGGGCTGCCAGAGAGATGTGTGGAGAAGCAGTCACTCCATGCATCACATCATGCAAATTCGCTTACCCCTCATCCCATGGAGGGAAGCATCGCCATCCAACTTCCCCTCATTGTTGGGAAGGCAACACAGGAAGACTCCTGTGTTGCCGCTAAGTCAGCATGGAACCTGGCCAGAAGTGCCCGTGTGCTGTCTAATGGGTTCCATACTGAAAGTGGAGGGGAAACAGCATATGGAGGGCAAATAGGCTCATCTGACGAGGTGGATAGTCCTACACTGGACTTAATTTAGCTATTCTTTAAATCATTTCTTGATTGAATTTATACCCTGCCTTTCTCCTGAGATCAAGACCAAGGTCCATTCAAATGTTGTAATACAAGATTCAGACAGGGAAGAGCATTTTTTAAAAAGTATTTTTGAAGATACATTTCAGAGCGAGAATTGAAGAATATGTGTCTTCACCTGACCTTTCTATGGTTACTCTTTCATGACGATTACCTGTACATTCCACACCGGCATCATTCCTGTGGTCACAGGTGAGATTGAGGCTCTTCTCTTGAGGACATTCCTTCAAAACGTTCTCTTTCCCTGTGCAGTTCACTTGATCCATCCAAATGGGACCAGACCCTTGGCCAAATCTCACTCCAGTGGCTGCTCCTAGAGGTTCTCCACAGCCTACTTCCTGGCACACCACACGGGCATCCTCTAAATCCCAGCCATTGTCACACACAGTTCCCCAACTCTTGTTATGGAACACCTCCACTCGACCAGAGCATGGAGTCGGACCATTGACTAACCTTACCTCTGATTAGAGAGAGATAAAATAATAATGTTTATTACTTGCCTCTCCTTTCAGCCCAAGGTAGGGCACAACACAGTGAAATACCTCTATAAAATCATAAATTAAAACATAGTTAAAATGCAATCATAAAAACATATATTAAAACATACACATATTAAAACACCTGACTCAAAAGTCAAAACACAGTGAACATCGAATGTGATTTAAAAGTCATAGTTAAAATTGATTGGGTAGGCAGGCTGGAAGAGATAGATCTTCATTTGTGTTTTCAAGTCCAACAGCTGATTTAGAACAGTCTAAGTTAAATGCATCAGGGTTTTATAAATATTTAAACAACTTCCTATACAATCACTGCACAAGCTCATAATACTGCTGTTTCTTTTAGATAGATTATGCACTTACATGGGAATGCATTGATTGTAACCCCACTGTGTAAAATACAGATCTAATAGACATGTAATCACACACTTACTGAAGGGTTAAGTAGATGGCAGCTATACTATCCGTGCAGGCTGATCCAACTCAATTTGAGAAAAGCTGTTTATATGGTTGTACCCTGGATAAATCACTCAGGAAAACCAAACACCACACCAGGATTCGGGCTTTCCCCAGATTTCTGGCAGTAGTTCTCATGCAGAATTGGCTATGGATTTCCCAACATCCATTGCATGCTTTCTGGGTTCATGTGACCTGGGGACATGGATGGCTGCCCCTCTGTCCCTCTCAGTGTTGGCTGCAAGAGCATAGGGTGACTGATCACAGAGGATCTTTGGGGAAGAGAGAGGGTGGCCTTTCCCCTCTCTCTTCTCAATCACATGGCACAGAAAGAAGAAGAGGGACTGCCAAGCAACAGGTAGGTTCCCTATAGCTGGAGGATAGATATTTTTGTGTTAGAAGGGATTCCAGGGACCATTTAGTCCAACACCACTAAAGTACTCTAGAAAGATGGTCATCTTGCTGTTGAAAACCAGACCCCAAAATGATGAAACGTAACGTCCTCGGCCCCATAGAGAGTAATTAGGGAGCCCACGTGGACATCATTCCTAGTTTCAGAGTTATTTCCATTAACCCCCCTGGGATATTGCATAGACACACCTCAGGGGATGACGACACCTTAGTTCACATAATCCTCTCACAAAGTCCTGGGAAGACACATGGGATATACATGGGTGGCTTTTAAAAGAGTGTCTGAGTGTTTCCTTGTTATGACCTGATTTATTTATGGGAATATTGGCTCATATATGTTTACCTGGCTGGTGCCCATTGTATTAACTGGAGCTGAAATAACAAAAACCCATATCAGTCCATTATCCCTTGCCCCAATACATTCCTTTCGGTTCGCACTTCTCTCCTGGGAGGATGAATAAATGGGCACAAATTTTAAAATAATCCAATTAGTTTATTAAATTTCCCACCACGACTGGGACCCAGGTCTCCCAGAGTCTTGGCCCAAGACTCAAACCACTATGGCATACTTCTTTCTGTTAAATTTCCCTAATCCCTTCTGTTTGGAACACAGCTGCAGTTCAACAGCATCTGGAAGGGGCCAGTTGGAAACCTCAGTTACTGAAAACAAAATGTATTCAAGCTAATCATGGTTGATAAACTTACCTGAACACACAACAGAAGCCGTTTCCCCACTATTACAGTCATATCTCCCCAAAGGACTTGCCAAGCACTGATGCAGAGCAGTTTCTGTCCCTCTGCAATGGACGTCATCCAACCAAATGGGGCCGGTTCCACTCCCATTCCATGTTCTGCTTTGATCCATCCTGGCACTTCCACATCCCATCTCTTGGCATACCACTGTGGCTTCCTCAATGCCCCATTCATCTCCACAAATCATGCCCCATTCACCATGATGGAACAATTCTACTCTTCCGCTGCAATTATTTAGGCCTTCCACCAGTCGGATCTCTGTTTGGTGCATGGGATCAGAGCCCAAGAGCTGCCCTATGTAAAGCATATGAGAGAAAGAGTAAAGAGACAAAGTATGTGGCTTTTCTCCTTTTCTATTCCTTGCATAACAAAGCCCTAGGAAAATCATGGGATTGGCATTAATTTACATGTGACTTGCAAGCATACACAAACACTGTCATCGAGGGCAGCCCAGACCCCTGCCTTCAAGCTGGTTTGACCGGCAGCAGGGAGTTCCGCAGTTCCTGGATGTCAAGTTGGGAAAACTGATGAAATGTGCCCCAGCAGCAGCCTCAACCAGGGACTCTCTGCAACCGTCAACTCTCTCCTTTCACTCCTTTGCCTGCCCCAACAATGTAACAAATCCCTAAATAAAGGATAATCAAATTGTAACTTTTAAACTCTCTAACTTGATACTTTGTGTCTCTTTCTTGCCTAAAACTATCCAAATGCATGAAACTAACCTTTTCCAGGCCGCGGGAGACTGCGGGCCTGCCCAGAATGCCTCCCTGGCATTCCGGGGAGGCCGTATCTGCGCTCCTCCATACCGCGGATACGGAAACCCCTCGGCCCCCCGTATCCAAGAGATGGAGGATCAACTCCATTTTGATGGCATATTTTTCCTTGCTAAATTCTAAGGCAAATTGCTATCTCGCTTTCTGCATTTCGGGCTTCTGCGCCCGGGGAATAACCTTTTTTATTTTAAGAATATAATTTTAAGGAAACAGCTAATTGTCAAAATCCAAGCCTCGCTGCTGCTGTGCTGCTGCTGTGTTAATTGCTTCTCCGTCCTTGCAAAGCCCCTGCCTGGAGACTTGGTGCAGCTACCCCATGAGGCTTTCGGAGAACAGCCGGACCGTGGGGCTTCTGCCCTTCGTGAAAGTTGTAGTTTCCCAAGGACCAAGGACCAGCTTCGATCTCAGTGCTGCAGGACTCCATCCTTTGGCTCAGTGGAAATCAACAGACTCTTTTTGTGGCTTTGAACTTTCTACCAAGTGATTTGGACTCACACGGACATCCTTTGCACCTATGAATTTTCCTTAAATGAACTATGGACTCATGTTTTTCAGAAATTATTTCTTTATTCAATTTCTCTGGTGGGTGGGATAGGGTGGGGGTGGCTCGATATGAATTTCTTAGGGCTGGGCGGTTTCGTTTCGTTAATTCGTAATTTGTTAAAAATTCGTTATTTTTTTTATAACGAAGCGATAACGAACCATTCTGGAGCAACTTAAAAACGAAACGAATTTTTCAATTCGTTTCGTAAATGCTTCGATTTCGTTATGTATTCGTTTCGTTATTGGTTTGAGGTCGTTTCGTTATTATTTCCGCATGTCTGGGGCAAGTTTTATAGTTGTTTTTTGTTTAATTAGTGAAAAAATTATAATATCACACCAACAGTCAACAACAGAGGGAGAGGGAAGCTTCAGAAGTTCCCCCTGTCCCATTTGGAGGTTTTTTAGCGTATTGCCCGGTCGCATCCGCCATTAACGAATCGATTCGTTATTGTTTCGTATTTGTTTCGTTAATGTTTTGTAATTTTTTTTACATTTATGAAATTTCGTAAATATCGAACTTTTTTAAAGACAAATTTCGGAATTCTTTTAAATATCGAAACGCAAAAAAACCCAAAAAAGAATTGATTTTAGAAACAAATTTTTCCGTTGTTACCCAGGCCTAGAATTTCTTATGAAATTCTAGAATTTCTAGAATTTCTGGTGGGTGGGATAGGGTGGGGATGGCCGATATGAATTTCTTATGATTCCTATATTTCCCCATGTATTTTGCTTCACATTTCTGACCCAATCTTGAACCTTTTGCCCCCTTCCCCTCTCCGTGGGGGAAGTCAACAAGGAAGCTGCCCTTTGGCTCTGAAAAGGCAATCAGCAATCACAAAAGAACCATGATCTTGAAACTTGTGCATGGACAAGAGAACTGGAAATCCCTTATTGATTTCGGAGTCAGGCCATCAATTCGGGGTTTCGCTTGGCAAAATTTTTGATCACATCACAATGGGGGTGAGACGACTCTCGGAAAGTCTCTTTTCCCCAACTCTGTTTTTTATTCAGCATTCCTCACAGTAAACATTCACCTCAGCCTCTCCTTTGTGCCTTATCTGACTGTAACAGGAAAACCCGGATTAAGTAATCATTACTAATCAAAGACCCATCGCAGAACAATAAAGTTAGTTTCTTTAGCAGGTCGATCCCCCGGACTCAAGAGACCCAGGACATTGGAAATCTATAATCCTATCAAGAACGCATTGTTTCTTTTCCGTCCCGCCTCATTCCTTCTGATTCGCTAGAGCGCCGAGGCAGCAGGACCTTCCTGATAGGCTCCCGCATACCGCAGGAGCTCTGTGATTGGCTCTGGCGAGGGGAGGGTGGCCGAGCCTCCTCCCAGCCAATCATCATCGAGCTGGGTGGGGGGCGGGAAGCGGGAGTTTTGAAACTTCTAAGCCTGTTTTTCCTGTAAAAATGCCTTTGTTCTCTGTAACCACATGCTCTGTAGGCAAATGATTGCTACATTGCATCCTTTTAAGCTGAATCGCTAATAAAAACACCTCGGTGCCACTTCTTCGCTTTGGTGAGATTTATTTTGAATTCTTAAGCTAAATAAAATTGCTGAAAATCAGGCTTCTCTGGCTCGCCAAAGTAGCGATCCCTCTTTGGTGGGATCCTAGGGACCTCTCCTCCTGGAGCAGACCCTCCCAAAGTTCCCATCGACTTCAACACCACCATTTCAAAACCTGAATAACAATGGACAAGAGCAAAAGCAAATGTGAATGATCTGGCTGACTCAGGCAAAGGCTTCTCTACCTCAGCCAATATTATTTTCTTTAAATATCTGCCATAGTTCCTGTGGCATGGTGGCTTCATTTGACAAAGCTAACAATGCTTATGATAAAGAAAATCCTTGCACAAACTCTGTTTCATGCCAATCCAGTATCCCCTTTCTTCCTTCTTTCTCTATCCCAAGGGTTCCCAAATTTATCCAGCCACGGAGTCCTTTTGGAAGCCAACGTTTCTACTGGAGCCCCAAGAAATGATTAAATGTTATATTATATTTGGTATGCTACTTGTACTATATGGCACGCCTGGCCCTTCTATAGCCCGGTTGCACCCATTGTACTACTTTACTGAGCATGATTTTGATTGGTTTTTAATGTTGCTGTTTTATATTGATATGTTTTGTTTTAATTGTGTTCTTATTTTAATTATGTTTTGTGTTATTGATGTTTTGTATTTGTGTACTGATCTAGAAGTATGTGCCTCTAGTTCATCTTCCATTTGGATTACTGAAACAAGCTCTATGTGAGGCTGCTTTTGAAGGTGGTTTGGGAATGTCACCCGACCCAGAGACCACCTCCTCCCTTTTCTACCACTGCAATGCCCTTCCAGGGTTTGGATGTACGAATATTTCTTCAGAAAAGATTGAGAAAGAAGTGATCACTTATCATCTGAGCTGTGAAGAGGAAGCAAGTGAGCTCACTGATACAGTTCCTAACCAATGGAAAATATGAGAACCTTCACACTGATAGGAAGATTGTGATCTTTAAAAGATATCATGGCCAGGAAGACATCTATTTCCTTGGCTAAAGTACATTCGTATGTGAGGTCTATGCAGTTTGACTGGCCTTGCTTCGCACACTAAAAACTGTAAACACCAAGTTCAGCTATATACCCATCTGGGAAACTTCCTCACTGGGAACACTTTTCCTTTAAGAGGAGAGTCCCTTGAAACAGTAACCCTCGACCGCAGTCTTTGCTGAGGGAAGGACTGAAGAAGAGCATGCCAGGTTGGGTGGCCCTGCTTGAAAACCATCAATCATTGTAGAAACATGCTCACTTTGTTGTTGGCCACCAGTAGCCTTTTGGAAAGGTAATGTGTGCCAGGAGAATGGAGAAATAGACGTTCTTTCTTCAAGGGAACTGTCATTTAGAGCAATAGATATAGAACAAAAATGATGATTTTAATGGCTTGGTGCAGAGATTGCCCAGTTGGGGCTACTTGAGGTAGACAGCGATCAAAGCTGTGGGGACGCTGGGCTTTGAAGTCTCTAAACCAGGCGTAGGTCTATGAAAGCCCAACCAGAATACAGAAAGAGTGAATTGGCTTGTTGGGAAAAAAATAGTTTGAGATGAAGATCTGGGGTCAAGAGTTATAGATGGGAAATATGTTTGATGTAACTACAGAAAGAGAGACAGCAGGATCATGATGAAATGATAAAAATACAATCTAAATGAAATTTGTAGAAATGTCTTTGTAGACATTAATAATAAACAATTTAAGAAAAGTTTAAATGTGAAATAATCTGCTTGAAAATTCAGTTTAATTTCCATTGACGAAGAATTGGGAAAGAATATATGAAGACCAGGAGACAGTGTGAGAAGACAGAAGAAGATACAATAAAGGTATAATGGAAACCAACACAATTAAGCAATTAAGTTTGGACCACAGCGGGTGGGGTGTGGCCTCCGCTTCTGGTTTCGCTTTCGATTCTTACTCCTTTGGCACAAGACGATGCCATGCTTTTTGGTCTTCGCAATGCTTGCAAGGACTGTGTAAGTTTGTTACACCATAAGATTTGTATTTGATGTAACACTGCAAGTTTATGTTTGACTCTGCTAAAAAGAGTAAAGTTTTCTCTTTTTCCCTTTGCAATTGTACAATGTTATTGTGGTTTGGTCAGACTAGATTGAATTCCGCTTGAAACACAACAGATACAACCAATGGACTTAAAATTAAAATGGTTAGAATCTCAATATATTATGTAATATGTGTTAAAGAAATAGAGACGACTTCTTGTAACAATGATAACATTGTAAAAGAACCCCACATCCCTTGACAACCTTCACCCTCTTTGTTTTCTCCTTGCAATATACTAGACATTTGTAAAGATGCTACTAACCAATAATTAATCTATTATCCCCAAAATTTTCCTTTTCCTTCCCTTGTCTCCCCATCCCCTGTTTTCCTAGTAAATGTTTAGTAAAAATTAGTTGGAAAAAAAGATAGAGATGGAGACCTGGTGGTTGTTTTTGTGGCTGCTGCTCTGATCAACTGCTCTGCATATATCTTGTAAACTCTGAGCCATGGCTTTCTTGATTGAATCAATCCGTCTGTAGTGCAGCCTCCCTCTTCCTTCACTACTCTGCACTTTACTACCAAATATTGCCATATTTTCCAATGAGTCACAATGGTCCAGGATATGTAAAAAAATGTGATACTTGCAATTTAGTCCTCTTGGTATCTAAGACCAATTTATTACCTGTACAACCTGCAGCCCTGCAACTGCTTCGGCCTCCAACTCCCAGAATTCCTGGTCATTGAACATGCTAGCTAGATTTTTTATTTTTATCCCTCCCTTGCTCCTGCTATAGAGACTCAAGAGATTAAATGTAACTAAGGAACATATGTATATGTATCCCAGAGGGAATCTGGAGCATGTGAAGCTGTCAATCAACCCACCTGAGCATATAACCCCAGCGGTTTCTTCGTGGCTGCAGTCGTGTTCTCCCCATGGACTTGCTGGGCACTCACTGAGGGCGGATTCCATCCCTCCACATCTGACATCATCGAGGCCAATGGGGACACTTCCATTTCCAAACTGTGCTTCATGTGTGGCAGAGACTGCAGATCCACAGCCCAGCTGGCGGCAGACAACCATGGCCTCCTCAATGCCCCAACTGTCGTCACAAACAGATGTCCACTGACCAGAAAGGAAGACTTCAACCCTTCCACTGCAGAGATTTGGACCTCCCTCCAGCCTGATCTCCATGTGGTCTGACTCTGCAATACTTGAGCTCATTACTACACATAGAGGAAACAGAATGGCAAAAATGCTTAAGGAGATGGCATCAGAACAATTTCTTCCCTGGGTTATCCTTTGAAACAGGCAGAAACACAGACAGGCACATTTTGTCACATGTGATGGTCTTGTAGAAAAGCAAACAAATATTGGAAGAATATATATGAGATAACACAGAAAATATTGAAGACCAGACTCCAGGTGAACCCAGAGTATTTTTAATTGGAAAAACTGACATAAAATGGGATAAAACCAAAGACATTTTATTTAATTATTTTACTCTTGCAGGAAGAATAATGTATGCAAAAAAATGGAAATCCCAACAGAGAACTCCCAACAAGAGAAGAATGATTACTAAAGATTGCTGATATTATGAACATGGACAACTGCACACATCATCTGAAGAACTACCAAGGTATCCCAAAAAAGAAAACAGATTGGACTCTATTTAAAGAATATTTGATACAAGAAGAAATAAAAATGTTAATTTGAACTCACAAAATAGTACTAAAAAGGTACAGAGTTGAGAGTGGAAGCAAGGAAAAATAAAGAAAAAGAACAAGAAAACTATAACAGAATGAAAATGATTGGAAGTCAACATACCTTTTTTTCTGCTTTTTTGTCTGCTTTTTTTCCCCTCTCGCACCCCTTCCTTCCTTCTCTCATCTATCCTTTTATATATTTGAATCAAGGACACTTAATGGGCTTTAAAAAATTTTCTATCACTCACTCCACTTGCCTTTCCTTTGACCTCAGTCTTCCCTATCTGGTGCTTTAATCTGATTAATCATGTAAAATAGATAATAATCAAAATTGCCTTTAACAATGGCAGAAATATTGGTTTGCTCGAAATTGCAGTTGCTGGATCTCAACAAGCAAAACAGTACGTCCAAACAATTCAAAGTTTCAAAACAGCTTATGAAAACCTCTTTAAACTCCAACCCACAGAGAACATATAATAATGGAGACAAGTCAGTGAGGCAATGATGCCCCACACACACCTTGGGGGCAGGATTAGCATTCACCCCCCCCCCAGCCTTGAGGAGGGGGTCATCCCATAAAACAGAATCAGCAATACGAAACAAGCATCAAAAGCGAAAACAGACTCAATTTTGGGGGAGAGGAGGGGGCCACTATGCAAACCTGATTAAAGGATAGGGTGGTTACCTATGATATTCTGGAATGCACAGAAAGTGACCATTTCTCATTAGTAGTGTCCTTGGGTCCACTTCTTGAACAGGCAGAATTAACCAGAACAGAAAATTTAACAGGAGAATTGCTGGGAGAAAGGAGGCTGAAGTGGTCAATTGGTCTAAGTAGTACTATCAAAGAGAAATTACACAGCAACTTTTTGATGAGCATACGTCAACAACTTTGTAACAAGTCAGCAAACCATCTAGATATTTACCAACAAACTGTAAACAAGCTTAGACCATGCATAACAACTTCTACATATAAAAACTTTCAATCCACAATATATGGTTGATTTGACACTCAGTGCAGGGCAGCCAAAAGAGATTTGGCAAATATTATTTATTTATTTATTAGGTTCTTGTGGGTTTTTTTTTCGGGCTATATGGCCATGTTCTAGAGGCATTTTTCCTGACGTTTCGCCTGCATCCATGGTTACTTCTACCCCGCCCTTCTCACCCCAGAGGGGGACTCAGGGCGGCTTACAAAGGCACAATTCGATGCCATCATCAACATAACAATTGAATAAAAACAATATAGCAGCAATTAAACAATTAACAATCAGTTTCTGCACTGCAACAATAAAACCAATAAAACCGATTTCACCTAATTAACGCTCAGCGTTCGCCATCTCATAGTCCAAATTCCAATTCCACTTTGTCAGTCCTGTCAGTCCTAGTCATCTGATTGTCCTTATCTAGTTGTCAGATTGCCCGAAGGCCTGGTCCCACAACCACGTTTTTAATTTCCTCCTGAAGGAGAGGAGGGATGTCGATGACCTAATTTCCCCCGGGAGTGAGTCCCATAGGTGAGGGGCCACCACTGAGAAGGCCCTGCTCCTCGTCCCCACCAACCTCACTTGTGATAGCGGTGGGGTCGAGAGCAGGGCCTCCCCAGATGATCTCAAGCTCTGATGTGGGATGTAGAGGGAGATGCATTCGGACAGATACGCTGGACCAGAACCGTATAGAGTTTTGTAGGTCAAAACCAGCACCTTGAGTTGTGCTCGGAACTGAACCGGCAGCCAGTGGAGCTGACACAACAGGGGGGTGGTGTGTTCCCTGTATGACGCTCTGGTGAGCAATCTGGCTGCCGCTCACTGGACCAGTTGAAGTTTCCGAACAGTCTTCAAGGGCAACCCCATGTAGAGTGCGTTGCCGTAATCTATTCGGGATGTAATAAGAGCGTGGACCACTGTGGCCAGGTCAGGCTTCCCAAGGTACGGGCGCAACTGGTGCACAAGTTTTAATTGTGCAAAAGCTCTCCCGGCCACCAGGAGAGAATCTCACAAAATAAGAGAATCTCATAAAAATCCATCTGGAAAAAATATGGAGAATGCAACTGAATGTAGGACAAAATATAAAAGTCTACTCAAAGATAAGAAAGGCAAACACACAAAATCCAAGTGGCAAGACCTGGACCAGGCACTTACAGAACAGGAGGAAGATAAATTTTGGGAACTTGTCACCAGAGGAACACAAGGAATAAGATACATGTCAAAAGCCTCAATCTCTGCATCCAAGTGGATTAAGTATATTTTGCCCCAAAGCAAATACATTGGAAATCACAGAGCTGGACAAAGACAATGATTTCTCTACTTCACCTGAGTGGTAAGTAGTCTCTAGCAAAGAGGTAAAATCTTTAATTGTATCCTTGAAACCTAAGAAAGCACCTGGAGAAGATATGCTTCCTCCAAAACTCATACAATCCAGTAAAGACAGGTTATTTGGATTCAGAAACTGCGTTATATGTCAGTGTTAATCCAGCCTTAGAAAGAGGAGAAAGGCTAAGAAAAGAAGCCAATTCAGTTAGTCCCATGAGAAAGTTCCTGAGAACGCAAGGGGGGAAATACATGTTTGTTTATTTATTATTATTTACTATATTTGTATACCACATTTCTCAGCCCTTGGGCGACTCCTGTCTCCTCTTTCCACCCTGTCATTACACCACCACTGGTCCCACTCCATTTCAACCTGTGCTACTCACCAAGGAAGGCGATGCCGAGAGAGAGCCACATGCTGAAAGGCCACTCAGGTCTTTGCTCAGCAGTCCAAGCTTTAAGACTCTGCAAGTGGAGCTCTCAGTTGAGGCTGCAGCTTCAGAAATGCAGTGCCGCTCAGGAACAGTCCTCCACCCTCCTATCCTTTATCTCTTTGCTCTGACAAAGAACACATCATGTTTCACCCTATAGACCACATCCCATTTTAAGCTGGAGTCAAAAAGCAAACTAGATGAATTGACCAGATGCCCAAGTCCTCATCTATAGCACTGTATTGATTCAACCTGGAGGACCTCTTCAGTGCTGATTGGAGGAGCCATCCTTTATTGCAGTCTAAACACAACCAATGGGATAGTGTTTTGTTTGGTCCCTTTGGAGAAGAATGTATGGGATCCTCTCCAGAGTCCTAGTTATATTCTGATGGATGTTTATCCATCATGGCAAACAGCTGAAGTAGTTGCAACTTGTCTTATGACTAAACCTGCAGAGAACAAATTTTTGCCATTGTACTGCCCTGAGCCTTTTGTTTGGCCATGTTCTCTCTCTCTCTGTCGCAATTCTTGAATTTTAGTGCTACTACAAAGGCATTGTTATTGTTTTCTCATTACACATCCATGTAAAGTTGCCAGATGTCAAGGTCTGGCCCTAGGCTTTCAATTTTCATGGTTCAGCTCAACACGGGAGGCCAGGGTGCAGATTCCCTAGTTTTAGAGGACTCACCTCTAGCCAGGAAGAAACAGTTGTATCTTAATATCCAGTTCACCCAGGAGAGCAACAGTTTGCTACAATTGGCAATGCTTCATAGATTGCTTGCTGCAACTGGTAAACATTCACTTTGTGGGCCTGAGGTCTACGTATCAGTTGTGTCCAGATGTACAATGTTATGTAATGCAGTTTGAATCTGTATTATATGGTCCATGTATAGAATCATAGAGTTGGAAGAGAGTGCATAGGCTATATAGTCCAACCCCCTGCCATACAGGAAAAGCACAATCAAAGTATCCCTGACAGATGGCCATCCAGCCTCTTTTTAAAAGCCTTGAAGGACGGAGCTCCCATCAGACTCAGAAGCAGAGAGTTCTAATGCTGAACAATTCTTCTTACAGCCAGGAACTTCTTCCTAATGTTCTGGTGAAATCTCATTTGCTGCAGTTTGAATCCATTGCTCCATTTTGTCTTAGTCTCTGAAGCAGCAGAAAACCAACTTGTCCCCTGCTCAATGTGACATCCCTTTAAATATTTAGACATGGCAATTATGTCTCCTTTCAGTCTCTTTTGCTTCAAGCTAAACTTACCCAGTTCCCTCAGCTGCTCCTCATAGGGTTTGGTCTCCTGATCCTACCCCATTTGGGTCACCCTTCTATGAAGGGTGACCCAACTTATCAATATCCTTCCTGAATTGTGGGGGCAAGTATTGGACACAGTGTTATCTCAAATGTGGTTGGACAGGAGCAGAATAGAGTGGGACTCGTTCTTCCCTCAATGAGTTCAAATCTCTATCCCTTATACTACACTGAAGTAGTAGATGCCTCATGATTGTCTAACCCAGGAATCCCAACAGCTGGTAAACTGGCTGGTATTTCTGGGAGTTGTAGGCCAAAAACATCTGGGGACCCAAGGTTGAGAAGCACTGCTTTAGAGGTACCAATCCCCAGCTCATCTTCCAACAGCAATGATATTTGAATTACTGAAACATGCTCTACCTGGGGCTGCTTTTGAACAATGTTTGGGAATGTCACTCAGCCTAGAGACCCCCTCCTCCCTGTGATGCCACTGCCATGCCCGTCCTAGGTTTGGAGGTACCAATCATTCTTCAGAAATGTTTTTGGAAGAGGAAGTGCTCAGTTATCATCTGGGCTGTGGACAGGAAGCAAATGGGCTCACTGATACCATTCCTAAGCAATGGCAGAGATATAGGAGATAGGAGAATATGCACACTGATAGGAAGAGTGCAATCTTTCAAAAATGCTATTATTGCGAAATAAGACCAAAGAGTAAAACAGTCTCACGAGAAGAGTGAAATAGCTGAAGGAAGGCAGTGGAAAAAAAAACCCAGCCTGGAATATCTTGAAAAGAGTTTGAAAGTTTGGAAAAGAAGTTACAGCAGCAGCAGCAGCATCTTTCTCAGCTAATTATATAGAAGGAAAATTAGTGGAGGAAAAATAATGACAAGTGCAATGATGGAAAAATGTGGCTCAGAATGATGAAAAAGTGAAAAATTAAAAGAAATCTTTAACTTTGTCTCTGAACAGTCTCTCAGCGATCTCTCATCTCTCTTGGGAAGGAGCTCAGAATCATACTGGAAAGAAAGCTGAGTTTGTTGCACCATCAGTGAACATTGAAGGACTGATTATTCACAGAGGAACACCAATGGATCTTCTCTCTTTGGGTGGTTCTACATAGGCATGACAATAGAGTTTGAACTCTCCTCTTTGTTGGGGTGCCTACATTACAAACATCAATCTAAACTCTTGAGTGTTCATCTTTTCTAAATGCAGAGGGCCAAATTGAGAATTTATCAGAGATTCTGCCTAACGATTAGGAAGAACTTCTTTACTGGAAATGATGTTTAATAGTAGTATTGCCACGTTGCCAGGGCTCTGCTGATATTTCCAGCAGGTGAATCAAACAAAAACCCAGTTTGATATAAAACAGTTTAATTAAAACAGCACTTACTTTCTGACTGTTTTAATAGTCCAAAATATAAAACATAAAGTTAGCACGCAGCCACAGAATAAACAAAAACTGCTAGCAAAAGCTACACCGTAGTCAAAGGGTCCAGTCCAGTGGTCAAACGCTGAGAGTTGAATAAACAAAGTCCAGGGATCAAGGGTCTATATACCATAGTCAAAAGCCAGTCAAGATTCAAGGTTCCAGGATTCCAAAGGTTCAGGAGACAGATCAGGACACCAAAAATCCACAAACCTGGGGAAAACCAGCAGCATCTACCACCAAAATAAAACAAATACTTTTCTCCCAAAGATCAGTCCCAAGGCTAGCTCCTTATATCCAGAAACACCCAGCTGCAACCTCATCTCTTGCATACCTCCACCCTTCATTGCTTTCACCATGAACTCTTACTTACAGATTACTCAACCCTTTAGAACAGGGGTCGGGAACCTATGGCTCGCCAGGTGTGGTGGACTTCAACTCCCACAATGCCTTGAGGCTCGGCAAGGAAGGATGCGGAGCCCACAGACTGGCCTCGGAGGGAGAGAGCGGGCGGAAACCCCTGCGGGCAACGCGCCTCCTCGTCCGGCGTTGTTGCTAGGGAGGGGGTCCATGCGGGGCGGCTGCTAAGGGCCGAAGCGGCGAGGAGGCACGTTGCCCGCAGCGGTTTCCACCCGCTCTCTCCCTCCGAGGCCATGCTTTGGGGCGAATGCCAAGCCTCAAGGCATTGTGGGAGTTGAAGTCCAGCACACCTGGAGAGCCAAAGGTTCCCGACCCCTGCTTTAGAACTAAGATTTAAATTAGCCCTTCAATCACCAACTGCCAGGCCTACTATCACCAACCACCATCAACTGCAGAACATGATACATAACAAGTATAAACCACATTAGAGTTTAGGGGACCCTCCTTCTTGAGAGGTTTCTAAATGGAGTTTGGGAGGTTGTCTTTCAGGAGTGCTTTAGTTGTGTATTCCTGGATAGCTCTATGGCTATATGATTCTATGATCACTGCTGGACGTTCGTGGCGGCTGCTGCCTGCCAAGTGAGTTGTGAGATTGTTTCACAGTATCATTTTATACATTTCTTGCCTTGTTTCATCCAGATTGTAGTTTTTTAAGATCATGATCTTTCTACCAGCTTGCATGTCCTCATATCTCCCACATATCCCACATCTCGTGAAATATCTCAATGCCTCCTGCCAAACAGTCCAGATCCTTTCTTCTGCAGAATCTGCTCTGAGGAATCTTCAATCTGCACGCTTGTTGAGACTCAGCGTCTGTCTGATGCACCTACTACCAGTAGTAGGAGAAAACGTGGCTTAGAGAATGATGAAGCTCAGCAGCAGCTGAAAAGGATCAGGGATTTGTTTCTGGAGACTACTGATGAAGAGGATTTTATGGGCTTTACTCAAGAGGAGATGGAGCTAGAGAGTTACAGGGGTGTAAAAAGAGTAGCCAGCAGCTCTAATAGTGATGTGGGGTCTGTTGCCAAACGTCCGAAAGACGTAGCTGATTGTACAGACTTTGACAGCGAAGACGAAGAGCTAGACTGGGCTAAAGTTCAAGAAGTGATGGATGTTTTTAACGCCCCTACATCTAGCGATGAATTCCAGGGTTTTAATGATGTTAACTTGCAGGATGAGACCCGAAATGCTGAATGGCTGCAGTGGCGTGGCATCGATTCACCTGAAGAATTGGATCCAGCTGGAAGTAACTCCAGCGATTCAGATGAAATTTAAGGAGCAGTTTGAGAGCCATCTAATCGCAGAGTTCAAAGTGTCGCATGCTGTGTGCTTTGTGTTTACTCTTGCCGTGAGCTTTGTTTACAGCTTCGTGTTCCTGCCTGTGAGATCATCCCTGCCGGATCCTGCCTTGTATGTATGCCTTGTTCTGACTCCTGGACCGTCTGACTACGCCTCTGCCTTGCCCCAGAATCTTCGTTGGACCGCTCTCCATACGGAGTGTCGTTTGCTGAGTTATAGCTGTTGTTTTGGACTATGTTTGTATGCTGAAGCCAAGCTGCCTGTTTGTGTTTAAGACTGCCTTTTCCTTGTGCTGACTGAAGCTATTTTGTTTACGTACTGCTGACTGCAAGCTCCTTAATTTATGACTCTGAAGTTAAGAGGTCTTTTGTTTTGTTAAAGAGACATTAAACAACCTCAATTAGCTCCTGCTTAGCTGCTTTGTTCTACCGCCGGACCTGAGTCTTGACAACGCTATTATGAGATAGTCATGAGTAAGTCATACTACCCAGGAAGGGTGGAATATTCACCAAAGGACAAGGGATATATATTGTGCTAACAGAAGGAGAAAAGGAATAGCCCTTGCAACACTGTTCACTGCAATTGTTTATTATGGTCACACATTACACAGCATATGTTTCATGG